GAATGTCTACCCTAAGCATGTGAAGAGAACAATTCCATGGAGGTAGCTGAAGCAGGCTCTGTGGAGCTCTTAAAGCTTGGTCAGATATTGAAGACACCAAGGTCATCCACTGCATTGTGGGCCATTGCCAGCCATCTTGACTTTTGTCTTGCCATAAGACTTTGAAGACTCTGGAAGAGAGAGTGAGGCTGATGACTGTGAAACTCTGCCTCACAAATCCAATTCATGCTTAAGTAAAGACATCACCTCATGATGTCATTGGTCTTCTTTAAAAATGAAGGACAAACAACAACAAGTCCTGCAATATGAGATGTAAAATGATGGTGGAACCAATAGTCTTGTGGCCTTGATTCACATGACAAAATCAATTCTGCCAAGTCTTTATTTGCCTTGCAGAGAGGCTTAAATGACAAGCTAAGTTTATATTTTATCCTAGAAGTAATAGGGAGCCACTGATATATTTTAAGCAGGGGCAGGACACAGACTTGTGCTTTATGAAGATTATTTTGACAGATGGGCAAAGGATAGATTGGAAAGTGGAGACTGAGAAATAGAGACCAATTTGGAGGGTATTACATTACAATAGCCCAGACAAGGGGCAGCTAGGTGGCACAGTGGATAGAGCATCGGCCCTGGAGTCAGGAGGAGCTGGGTTCAAATCCGACCTCAGACACTTGACACTTACTAGTTATGTGACCCTGGGCAAGTCACTTGACCCCACTGCCCAGCAAAAAACAAAACAAAAACAAAAAACCAATGGCCCAGACAAGAGAGCATAGGAAAAAATAGGACTGATTGGTGGGGGGTGAAGAGGGCATAAGGGAGGGAGAAGAGCCAAGGACTTCAAACCTGGGTGACTGGAAAGCCTGTGGAGGCTCTTATAAAATTACAGAAGTTGGGAGGGGAGAATAGATTGGAAGAGAAAACACTGATAATAAATTCCATTTTAGACATGCCAGGATAGTTATCTAGTTGGCAGCTGACTATATGATTGGAGTGAAAGAGAGATCTTAGGGCCATTTATATAGATTTAGGAGTCATCTGCACAGAGATAACAATCAAATAATCAAATATGATAAACATATGTTAGTATATAGGATCAATAAAGTCAATCAATGCATAATAAAAACAGAAAAATACAAACAGAATAAAATGATCATAACTTGGTAGTAAAAGACAATAACAAACATACCCCCCTCCATAAAAAAGAAAAAACCCAGTCATTCAATTGTCAATTTCCTCACTCTAGTCATATCCTCCACACAGATGTCTATCCCACCTAACATCTCATCATTATCATTAGTATCATTTTCATTAGTTCTCTCATTGCCAATAATTTGGCTAAGTTTTAGTTTTGAGCATATGAGCTTATTACCAGAATCACACCCTTCAAGAACCTTCATAATCAAAATGGCACAGTGTACCTTAAAACCCTCTTGTCTCAGAAGCTGAGTCACAATTGGCACTTCACTTTTTTACCAACTCTGCCAGCCACAAAGGTGGAACAACAGTTCTCTCAGGACACTCAAACGTATCTGCGATCTCTTCGATTTGGGAGTTCCCTCCAGCCACACAGATGATAACTCAATCATGCCTGACCATCTTGTGTGACTCTCACCTGTGTCCTCCCAAAAGTTCAACATGGGCTGTTCGGTCAACAGTAGAGGCCTTCTGCACTTTTCCCCGATATCACGATGGTACCAGTGGAGCACTCTGGCCATCTACCTGTTACCTCTTGCTTTCACCAGGTGACCAGAACATCATCTTTCAGTCATATAACTGCTTGATGACATCCTTTACTCCTGTTCCTCATAGTTCCTTGTTGGTTATGTGCGGCTGCTTGCTCACATCCACCATGTGCCTTTCTATTGCCTTCTATGTGATGTTCATCTTTAGTTCTTCAGATACAGTGGTGTTCTAGGTCTTCTTGCCATAAAGCAACACTTGTAAAATGTTTGTACTGAAAAGATGGACTTTGGTTGTTACAGGAAGTATTGGTGATGGTGGTGTGGTGGTGGTGGTGGTGGTGTCAGTAAAAGCGCTTTGTAATTTACCAAAAACAATTCTGCCTGCCTTCGTCCTCCATTTCAACTCTGGGCCCAAATTCATTGTCCACTGTCAGTCTTAGATATACATATTGTTAGTGTGTCCATTCAGATGTATGTTAATGATGACATGTCTTTTGTTTTGTTTTGGTTTTTGGCTAGGCAATGCGATTAAGTGATTTGCCCAGGGTCACACAGTTAGTAAGTGTTATGTGTCTGAGGCCAAATTTGAACTCAGATCCTCCTGAATCCAGGGCCAGCGCTCTATCCACTGCACCACCTAGCTGCCTGATCACATGTCTTTTCCAGGAAGTTCTACGACGTGTTAGGGCTTGATGCCATTAACACAATGTCATCCACAACCAAGGACACCTGGAGGAGCCACATGGTAAGCATGTGAATGATTTCTTTCATTCAGTCTTAACACCTCTTAACACGCTTCTTTTTCCCTCTACTCAAGTTGCCACTACTCCTGGACCTTGTTACTTCTCACCTACACTGTTTGTAATAACCCCCTGCCTCTAGTCAATAGATTATGATTAGAGAAGGGAATTTCAGAGTTCATGAACATTGAGATCATATATTTGTGAGTGATGGAATATGCTAGGTAATCACAAAGACATTCTTTAATTGATTTCAGCAACAGGGACATTTACTATCTGTGTGACTTTGGACAAGTCATTCAATAGCCTTGGGCCTCAGTTTTCTCATCTGTAAATGAAAGAGTTGGTCTGAAAGACCTCTGAGGATCTTCCAATTCTAAATCTATGATCCTATGAAATGGTTTGTTCTCATTTTCCAGTGGTTTTGCTCATAAGTTTCTTGTGCCTGAATACCTGAAATGTCCCCCTTCTCTCTGCCTTCGTTACTACTTGCTCAAATCCCATCTGTTCTTCCAGCTTTCATTTAACAAACATTTATTAAGTGACTGTTGGGGCAGCTAGGTGGCTAAAGTGGATAGAGTGCCAGGCCTGGCATCAGGAAGACTCATCTCCCTGAGTTCAAATCTAGCCTAAGACACTTACTATGTGACCCTGGGTAAGTCACTTAACATTGTTGCCTCAGTTTCCTCATCTGTAAAATGAACTGGAGAAGGAAATGGCAAACCACTCTTTTTTTATCTTTGCCAAGAAAACCCCAAATGGGGTCATGAAGAGTCAGAATAACTGAAAAACAACTGAACAACAAAATTAAGTGACTGTTCCAGGCACACAAAGACAGAAGCAATTTTAATTTAAATGTTCTCTTCTGTGTAAAACCTTGCCTCATTTTCTTTCCCACTCCTGTATGCAACAGTGATCTGCTGATTTAACAGATTTACCTCAGATAATCAACTGTTTATATAAGAGGTTTTGCAAAGCCACATAGAGGTGGGCTATGTGCTTACATAAGTAAGTATGGCACAGCCTATTTCTCTGAATTCTCCTAATACTTTTCTTAAACTTTTTAAATATTCATTTATACTATTTAATATCATAATTATTTGTGTAGGTCTAATTTTCTAGATTTTAAATTCATCAAGGGCAAGGCCCTTGGTGTTTCCTTCAACACTTGGAATCTAACAAATGATTGTTAAATACTTGTGTAGGGATATAAAATTTTGGATACAAAGTTTTTAAAAAATAGCTGTTGTTCTCAAGGGGTTTGACTTCCTCTAGGGGAATGTGCAGGTACATAGATAAGTGTAACATCTTGTCCTTTCTTTCCATTTTGCTGTGTCATCTCCTGCCTGATCTCCAGGCTCTGTTGGGAGCAGAGCATCTTTTGCCTGGTCTTTCACAGTACTGAACAGTCCTCCTTCCTTCCTCTCTCTAGATAAAATCAGGTAGCATGAACAAGCATTCTGTGTTCTACCCTGTACCATCCCATACTGTTTGTCTTTTGCCAAAACTGTGGGTGTAACCTGTCCTATTTTTTCTAAATATTTTGAAATTATGAATCTCTTCAGAACAGGAGTTTAAAACATAATTTTGCGGCTTCCTCCCATATAAGCAACCAAACATTTGCTGTGCACTCACTTACTATGCATTCAGCACTACAGGAAATAAAGGGAAATCATTAGACATGACTCAGATCTGTGCCTACTGGGAAAATGAACTGGATCTAACATCGTATTCTACCTGCTTACATTAGCCAAACCTCAACATTAGGAAACCGTTCTATTCTGACTTTTGAAAAGAAGCAAAAGAGGATACTTCTAGAACGGAGAAGGTAGGAGCATTGTTCTTTGCAAAGGGACAGAGAAATCTTGGTAGGATTAAAAAAATAATCATTATCAGCCCTGGTTTTTTAACATCCCATAATATCTCCAGTTATCTAAACGAGTGTCATCAAAGTCTCAAAAAATTATCAGAATAAAAGATTTTAAGTGGAGCCAGCCTAGAAGTTCAGTACTGGAACAGGGTTTAAGTACTGCTTGGACTCATACCCACTGAATAACAAAGTGAAAATCTCTTAACTTCCAGAAAAGTTGCCCCAGGCAACTCCAAGACTGACTGTAAATTATAGATACTTGTAGATCTCTAAGAAGGTGAGGAAATTCTCAGAGCCACAAAATCATCAATCCAATACACACATAATTTCCTCAACTCAATTTAATTATTAATAGAGAAAAACACTCAATGGAACACTGTATTCAACAAGGGAGTCCAGAAAACCAAACACTGGGAATTACAAACCTTTACAAACAGAAGAGTTCCACTGGCCTTTGGTAAGGTGCAAAGGTTAACAGATTTTGCATTTGCTCTACCCCCACTGAAACAGGGGCTATTCAGGTAGTAATTTGTGGAACTTTGGAGGTAGGAGAGCATCACATAATTCTAAAACTTGCCTGACCCTTTCAGGTGAGACTGGATTTGTGAAATTTCAGAAAACCAGGGTCCTCTGGTCTCACCTAGTCTTTTCCAGCTATACTTTGACCCTTAGCAGACAGGTGAGAAGAGACTGTTGCCTTACCCTCTGTTCCCACTCGTACATGAGCTTTTATCACTTCCTCAGCATGCAATCGGTGGGACCATCTGCTGGGGGAATATTGCTTCTCCAGGTCCTATGGGACACAGAGGCTCAGGATTTCTGAGTTGGAAGGCATCTCAAACGCCAACTAGCCCAACCCATACCTGAAGGCACTCCTTCCCCACCCATTTCCCTCCAACAAATTAGATAAATGATCAACCACTTTTTGCTTTTGACTTAATTAGGAAGAAAGCACCACTTCCCTAGGCCATCTATTTCCCTTTTGAACAGCTTTAATCATTAGGAAGTTTTCTTCACCTAAATTTATCTCTTTATAAATTCCCTCCACCCATTAATCCTGGTAAAAATAGTAATAAGGTAATAATTAAATAGTTACAGCGGACATTTACATAGCACCGTGAGCATTTTACATACATTATTTCATTTAGATCCTCACACAATGGCAGTGACTGGGATGTGGGAACTCCCTAACTCCTGAGACGACATATTACAAAATAATTCAAATTGTGAGGATTTTTTTCTTATCAAACAGAAATTTACATTACTCAAACTTTTATTCAAGGCTACTAGCTCTTCCTTCTGGAGCCAAATCTATTTTTTTCTTCCACATGACAGCCCTCCAAATACTTGAAGACAATGATGATGTCCCTCCTAAATCTCTTCTTCAGGCTAAATATTACTAGTTGCTTCAAACTGATTTTCATATGGCACGATCATATTTGACCGGTATTTCATATTGGCCCTTTACCAGTCTGGTAGCCCTCCTCTGGAAACTCTAGCCTCTTATCCTTGCTCCTAAAATGTGGTATCTAGAACTCAACATAATAGTTCAGATGTGGTCTGACCACGGCAGAGTACAGGACAGTTATCTCCCTCATTCTGGACAGTATGGCTCCCACAAGGAAGCCTAAGTTTTTGTTAGCTTTTTAGGGGTGAGGGCAGAGGAGGGGGAGGGAGAGAAGAGCTTCAACGTCACACAGGTTAACTGGATTAAGCCTGCAGTCCTTTTAAAAAAAAAGTTCCTCCTCCCCTACTATCAAGCCACTCTCCCTACATTTAATATTGTGAAGTTAATCCTTTGAAGACAAATGTGGAACTTTACAGTCATCCCTAATTAAGTTAAATCCTATTAAAACTTGTTGGCCCAAACTTTTAGCCTATCCAGGTCTTTTTTGCATCCTGAATCTGTCAACATAAGAGAACTTTCTCTCCTAGCTGGGGGCCACCTGCAAATTTTGTTAAATATCATTTATGCTTTCATGTGAATCCAGGCTGAGATAAAAATGATCTTAATGGCATAGTGGCGGAGAGAGCTTGGAAAGCAAGGGAATTCTCCAATTCACCACCTTTCTGCACTGAAAAGATGGACTTTGGCTGTTACAGGAAGTATTGGTCCCAGGCTCCCCGGGGCTCCCTCCTTCCAGTCATCCCTGCTCAGTAAAGTCTCCCCTTACCTCCTGGGACAGCGCCTTCCAGGGCGAGTCTCGGAGGCTCGGCAGCAGGACAGCCATGGCTTTGCAGACCGTCAGGCTGGGATCCGCCCGCAGCTCCAGAGTTTTAACATCTCCAGGAGAGGGGCGGAGACTCCGATCGCCAGCGGCGCGCCAAACTGGAGGGAGTAGCCAGCTTCCAGATTGACAACCCCAGCGGTGCGGGAGGGGTGGAGGAGGAGCAAGGGCAGTGAAATAGACAGGAGGAGGGAAGAAAGGCGGGGCCTGAGACTCCGTCGAATCTCCCGCCGGCCCCTAACTCGGCCGGGATTAGTCCGGCGCCAGGCGCGAGAGCTCCCTATTGGCTGCTGAGTCCAGGTTAAAGGCAGTCTGCGCGGGAACCTTACCGCGGGAATACAGGCCAGCTGACCCGGTGATTGCTTCTCTGTTCGCTCCGGACTCAGGATGAGCTGCATTAACCTGCCCACCGTGCTGCCCGGCTCACCCAGCAAGATCCGGGGACAGATCCAGGTGAAGGGGGCCAGGGTGGGATTCAGCAGGGCCAGGTGTTGCTCTCAGGCTGGGCGCTAGATTCAGGGAATACCGCGGGCGTTGGGCTGAAAGATGAGATCCCCATGGCGGGAGACCTAATGCCATTTCTTAATTCCTCTGCAGGTGATCTTGGGGCCCATGTTCTCCGGGAAAAGGTAATCTCACAAGGGAAGGGGCAGAATGGGATGGAGAACTGAGGCAGCAAAGGGAGGCCTTCAGAAGGCTGTGGGGAAGTTGGCCAATGATTCAGTACTTATGACTAACCTTTAAAGACAAAAATGAAACAGTTCCTGCCCTCCAAAGAGGGAGACAACATGTATACACATATTGCATGGGCAAAATACATAATAGGTGAATTGAGGGAAGAGGCACTAGCAGCTGTGGAGATGGGAAAGGTCTGTTGGAGGGGGCATTTGAGCTGAGTTTTGAAGGAAACTGGGGGATTCCCAAATGTGAAGAAGTGCAGTACAGGTATAGAGGATAGCTTGTGCACAGAGAAAGGATTGGAATGTCTAGTGGGAAGACCAGGCCAGTGAGGAAAGGAGAATAACAGATGCTAAGCTTAGAAAGGCTAAGTTGGAGCCACATTGTTTCATTCATGAATGAACAACAACAACAACAAAAAATTTATCATGTACAAACACTGAGCTAAGCCTTAGGGATGCAAAAGAGAAAAGCTTGCAGTGGCTGCTGTCAAGGAGTTCATATAAGTGGGGGAGAAAACATGTAAAGGGCTTTAAACACCGAACAGAAGAGTTTAAATTTTTGTATTTGATGTAGACATAATAGGGAGCCAGCCACTAGGGTTTAAAGAACAGATAAGTGAGAGAGACCCTCAGAGATGCAGAAACTCCTCTTTTCACCCCCACTGCTAAGAGCTCACCTGGGAGGGACCTTGAGCTTTAAATGCTCCTTTGCCCTATAAAACAGACATCTGAACACCCACCTGACAAGCTCTCTGACAGCTCACTTTGCCAATTAGAGTCTCGTTTTCCTCTCTATAACCTGTTTTCTTTCCTTCCTATGTGAAATATAGAACATCCTTTTTCTTGAAAACTAAAGAAATAGCCAAAAACCTCAGGATGAATGTTTTCTGTGCTAGTTCTGTTATTTATGACCCACATGATCTTGACCAAGTCATTTCACCTGGGGTGAATCAGTTTCCTAATCAGTAAAATAATGGGGTTGGACTAGATGATCTCTGAGGTCCTTTCCAACTCTAAATTTACATGTCTCTGGGCCTCAATGCAGAAAGGGGAACTGGTACATCATCCTCATTCTCTCCAATCTAAGGAAGAGGTTGATGTTCAGACCTGTCTGACTTTTCATGACCCTATTTAGGATTTTCTTGGCAAAGATAATGGAGTGGTTTGACATTTCCTTCTCCAGCTCATTTTACAGATGAGGAAGCTGAGGCAAACAAGGTAAAGGGACTTGCCCAGGGTCACACATGTCTGAGGCTGTATTTGAACTCCAGTCTTCCTGGCTCTGGGCCCAGCTCTCTGAAGTAGCCTTCCCTTTTGCCAAGTCCAATCCCTCTACATATGCCTTCCATCCTATTCTTGCCCTTCCCTAAGAACTTGTTCCTTTAGTTATTCTGCCTTGGATTTCTCAATTCTCTCCTTATCTACTGATTCCTTCCCGGCTTCCAGTGAGCATGCCCAGGTCTCCACTTTTCTTTAAAAAAAACAACCAAATAACAAAACAAAACTGGAACCCTTTGCTTGACTCTCATTAGCTCAAGCTATCATCCAATGACTCTTCTCCCTGCACACTTACTTAACCCCTTAAACTCTCAGCCTGCAACCCTACCAGTGGACTAAAGCTGCTTTCCCTTTGGATCTCTTACAGTTAAATCTGATGGCTATTTCTCAGTGCAAATCCCATTTCTCACACTAATCCACTTGATCTCTGCAGTTTTTTGTACACTGACTACCCCTCACCCCCTTCCTGGGCATGCTTTTCTTCCAAGACACTGCTCTCCTGGTTTTCCTTCTATCAATGTTCCTTTTAAGTCTTTGCATCTGTATTTTCCCCTCCTAAGAATGAGTTTATCCTAGGCCCTTTCCTGCACCTTTCTCACTTTTTTCCCCTCATCTTTGACTCTTAACTCTCCCTCCCTCCTCCAGTCATTTACCAAATCTTGTCAGTTTTACCTCCATGACATCTCTTGCATCCCTCTTCTTCTCTACATTCACTGACATCCTAATTCAATCCCTCATCACTCCTCTTGTAATTATCACCTAGACTCTTGTAATAGCCTATTAATTTGTCTCCCTGTTTCTTATCTCTTTTCTATTCTGTTTTTCACATAACTTCCAAAATGATCTTCCTAAGGGATGGGTCCAGTCATATTATCCAACTCAAAAAATCATCAGTTATTCACTACTGCCAATGTGGCAAGATACAAAGTGTTTAGCCTGGCATTTAAAGCCCTACATGATCTGGCTCCAACTTTCATTTCCAGACTCTTCATATTATTTCCTTTGATGTACATTCCAGCCAAACTGGATTTACTAGCTGTTCCCCGAACTATCCATCTACCATCTCCTTGCCTTTGCACTCCATACCTAGAATGTGCATAGTCCTCAACATTTACATCTTAGAATCCTTTTTTTCTTTCAAAGCTTAGCTCAAATGCCATTTTCCTGGTAAGTCAGTTTGTTGATGTTTTCATTACCTTATGGGTACTTCTCTATGTGTTATAGAATGCACACTCCTTTGATGAGAATTCATTCTATGAAAGTAGGTTAACATGTGACAAGGAGAACCACTCTTCAGGGGTGTTTCTCTTATTTTGTGATATAAATACCCTTCTCTCTGTGCCTTAGTTTAATGTTTCATTTCACTAGGTTTTTGTCTTGCATAATGTGCTGGGCTTAGATTGTGTAATTCCCTGGGTGGAAGGGGTGGGGTACACATTAGGTGTTTGGGGTCATTTGGTGCTAACTGTTGTGCCTTCCTCCCTGTGCTGGGGAACCACTTTGGCTTTTGTAGCACAGAGCTCATGAGGAGAGTCCGGCGATTCCAGATTGCTCAGTACAAGTGCCTTGTGATCAAGTATGCCAAAGACACTCGATATGGCAAAAGTTTCTCCACACATGACCGGTCAGTTCCTTCCTCCAATTTCATGCTGGTTCCCTGGTTAGAGTGAAGTCTATATCAGAGAAATAGTACTAAATGTTGCTAAGTGGGTCAGTGGTAATTTCTATATGTTCTTTAGTAGTATTTTCATAATTGGCTTTTGAGTCCCTTGCTCTGATGTTAAGGTCAAATCCCAAGGTGCAAGGAATTATAGGAATTCCCAGGTTGTGCTAGAATATTTTATTCATCAAATGTGTTTGGAATAAGTGTACCAGGGCTTGAAAATCTCTTAGGTACATGGTTGAAATAGAAATTAACTTATGTGGATGCCTGAGTCCCCTGTCATTGGTTTTGTTCTTACTTGTTCCCTTTGGCATCAGGAAACCAAATGTTCTTAAGCGTGGGGGGAGGGGTGGGACTAAAATTTCATTAACCGGTAATATCAGTTACCTGGGGTGAAGTGTACACTGGCTATACTTCCCATATGTGAGTATGATGCAGGTTGCAACTGTCTATAATTTATAGTCTTGGGGACTTGGAACTGCCTAAAACTTGAGAGTTTAACTGACCTTCCTTGCCTATGATCACACAGCTAGAGTTAGTGGTAGAATCTGATTTCAGGTCTTTTGACTCCCAGGTCCAGCTGTCTATTCATTAAGTCCTCACATGCCTTCTGTATAACCCTGAATTCGAGGCTAGATGGCTAATTAGCATCCAGCCTTACTTGATTTCTCAGTTCAGAGCCTGTGGGTGTTTCTATCTTTTTTTTTTTTGGTGGGGGGCGGTGTATGAGGTGACAGTCTATATGACAAAACTCTATTTCCATTTGTTTTATTTTACTTTTTCATTTCAAACGCTTATTAAGCACTACCTTTTTGAAGAACACTGGGAAAAGATACAAAGTTTAAGACAGACCTTTTTTCTGCCCTCATGTAACTTATAGTCTAACATGGGTATGACAACAGGAATAACTATATAAAATGCAATAGTATTATTGGGTCAGTAACCTCCATTTCAGTTTTCTTTATTACAATTTATCTTTTTCTAACAGCTGTCATCCCCACCCCTTATCACATAATAAATGCCATCAATTCTCTCAATTAACAGGCCATCCCTTCAATGATACACTACCAGGTATTTCAGTGACTATTAAGTAGTACTCTACAGAGGGATTACTTGACCCAAGTACCAATGGGAAGTAGCCACTTCATTAAGATAATACTTTGAAGTAGGGCAAACCCTGAAGGTTATAGATTTACTAAATTTTTCAAATGCCACATGACTAAGTCTTATACATTAGGTCTAGACTCTAAGCTGTCCCTTTCCTGATTACTTTGTATCCCTATTCCCCACAGTTTGCTGAGTACGGTTTCAGTCAGTATCTGATTTTTAAAATAGTACCAGAAGCCAAGGCCCTCTCAGAATCCTCAGTTGGGCTTTCGGAATGATAAAAGACTGAGCTAAGGTTAATTAGACACATCTGTGTGAATCACATTCAAATCTGATTTGGTATCTAATTAGCCATGGCAGCGACCATTATGTCAATTTTCCTATGTGAGGAAAACCTGTCATAGTGTGTCTTGGTTTGCTCAAGCATTTTCCCTCCCAAAACAGAAAATATGAGACCAAGGAAAATAAATATTATAGCATCAACATTTTAATTATTTTTCTTATGAAAACAAAGATGAATTTTAGAATGGGCATTTGGCCCTTTTTCTTCTTGTCTCCTTTCAGTTCAAAGTGTTTACATCTCTTAATGGCTGGCATCTTCTCAGATCTGCAATTGGACTCAATACATTCAAACATTAGTACGATCTTCTGTAATAATTGTAATTTTTGAAATATATTGTTTAATGTTGTAGCTATAAGTGACAGGACTCCAATATTGGAGTCAGGCTAAGTGGTTTTAATGACCAGAAATATGTAAGCAATACAGACGGTCTCTACTTTTCCACTGTTCTGACTCATTCTGATCCTATGTCAAACATGTAAATGATAGAGACTCCTGATTGACTGAGGCTTCAGGCCAACTACTTTGGTTGTACCTTGACACCCATTCCTGGGATCCTCAATTATGGTTGAATTCAGATCCTCACCCAATTTCTGGTTCAGATTAAGAAACCCTCCTACCCAAAACTGGTATCAGTGAGCAACCTCAGAAAATTTCCCTGTCACATCTGGATCTGATTAGATATGCCTCCTCCAGGGGCAGCTAGGTGGCACAGTGAATAGAGCTCTGGCCTTGGGGTCAGGAGGACCTGAGTTCAAATCCAGCCTCAGACACTTAATACTTACTAGCTGTGTGACCCTGGGCAAGTAACCTAACCCTGATTCCCTCACCTAAAAAAACAAAAAGCTTCCTCCCATATCTGGCATCAATTCCCTGTTCCCAACTGAGCCTATTTTTAAGGTATAAAATTTTCCTGCTTAAATCCCACTGAGTATGTACTTCCATGGAAATCTTGTCACTATAAGCGTTTCCCTCATATGAGTGACAGGCCCTTCATGGCCCTGCCTTGCCAAATGGTGTTGAGGGACTTTGTTTTTGTCTGCTTACTGTACCCCTCATTCTAATAACTCTTATGCTTGTACTAGTTTCCCAAGCATTACTTTTCTGTCAGTCTTCAAATATGAGTCTTTGCTGTCACTCGATCCATGAGGCCAAAGAAAACTTATTTCTTTGTGGTCCTGGCCTTTTTCAGAAAATAGGCTTTAACCACCATAGCCACCCTGCTTCCTGGTAGTACCTTTTAACCTGAGCACATTGGAAGTCACTGCTCCTTTTGCATGGCATTACTTTGTGATGCTTCCCTCACTTCCTGATGTGGGTTTTAGGGATGTGTCATCAGCCTGAAGACAGAAAAACAGCCATGAAACAGAAGTATATAGTGGCTTCTCAAGTCCTGGGCCTCATAGGAGATGACTAGAGTTGAAGGTGTACCCTCTATCCTAAGTCAGCCTCTTTAGCCTAAAGTATCTTCCATTTTTTAAAAATTTAATTTAATTTTTCACAATTGAAAATCCATCCATTCATTTTAAATGGAATATAAGGGAGTACTTCTGGATCCCTCTCAGAATTCACCCCTTTTTCACCCAGATTAAAAAAGATTTTTTTTCCCTTTCAAATACAGGAAATAATCTTTTCCAGAAAAGGAGCAGAGGGGGAAAAATCTCCAAACTCATTTATAGTACAACTCTTGTCCTGTGGATTTTTTTCCTAATCAATCAAACAACAACAAGCATTTATTAAGCTTCTGCTGTGTCTGATATACTTTAAAACACACTGGAAATAATGGGGGGGGAGGGAATCCCTGCCCTTTAGGGATCTACATTCTATTGGGAGAGATAGCTTGTACGAATAGAAATATATTCAAGGTATTTTTGAGGGAGCTCCAGGCTGCTGGAGAAAAAAAGCTTCCAGGTAGAGGTGGTACTGAAAATAAGCCTCAAAGGAAAAAGGGATTCTAATATGTGGGAGTAAAGTAGGAGTACATTCCAGGCATGGAGATAGTCTGGGCAAAGGCCTGGAAACTGGGGATGGGATGTGTGAGAATACCATGTGTAAGGAACAAAAGGAAGGCCAGTTTGGCTAAAATGTAGAATGTATGAAAGAGAGTTGTGTGTAACATGCCTGGAAAGGTAAGCTGCAGCCAAATTGTGTGCATTTTATCCTAGAGACAGAGGGAACCATTAGAGTTTCTTGGGGGATGGGGTGGGATGGGCAGCAGGGAGTAAAATGATCACACCTGTACTTTAGGATTATCCATTGAACAGCTGTGTGGAGGATGAATTGGAGAAGGGAAAGCCTAGAAGCAAGACAGCCCTTGACTATAGCAATAATATAGGCTAGAGGGAATGAACTTGAATTAAAATGGTGGCTGGTTGAGTGAAGAGAGGGAGGTATATGAGGGTCTCAACTAGTCAGAGCAGTAAAGATCTTTGATTTAATCTAGTAGAATAGATATATGGGTGCTGCCACTATGGTCTACTTTTATTCTAGTTTTTTGAGGATTAATCTGGAAAAAAAGACATATCCACCAACTTCTAGATCAAAAGTCAACATGAGCAAACAAGACAGTGAGTTTGTGTGTTTTTAAGGGCAAACTAAATACAGACATTTTGCCCTTAGATATAAAGGTTGTATCCTGAGAGAGCATCTAGTCCAGGGATTCTTAACCTGAGGCCCATGATTTGTTTTTTAACACTGATGACTGGAGTTCAATAGCTTTGGGTTCCTTTGTAATCCTATATATTTTATTTAATTTAATCTATTTTAAATCATTCTGAGAGAAAAGGTCCATCCAGAGGCTTTACCAGACTGCCAAAGGGGACCATGACACACAAAAAGTTAAGAATCCCTGATCTAGTCCTACTCCCTCCTATGCATGAGAAAACTAAAGGCCACAGAGGGGACATATTGTTCATGACTGAACAAGGTTCTGAAGGGACACATGAGTCTTTCCCTATTAGAATGTTAGCCTTAAATCATCATACAGCCACTCTCAATTACTAAGATAATTAAAAAAAATAAAAAGACAACTAGTCTCCAACTGGGTCTCCTCACTCAGGCATTCCATGCTCCCTCAGTATAGGAATTATAATCTGTTACTAAATAGTTTTATGTTAAATTGATTTTAAAACAAATTTGGGGGATATAAACACTGGCAACAAATAGATACCTTTAAAATGCTTATTTTAATCATCATAAGATTTTTTTTTTGTGAGAATCCTTTTTCCTTCATGTCCCTATCCAGGCATCAAGGTGAGTTATTGGCATAGTATAGATCTGATTTATGGGACACTCTGACTCTAGGCAAGTTCTTTATTTAGGAACTAAGGTTCTTAACCTGAGGTCTATGAACTTGTTTTTTTAAAAATATCTTGATAACTTCATTTCAAAATAATTGGCTTCCTTTGTAATTCTACATATTATATGCATCTAAAAATATTATTCTGAGAAGAGTTCTGTAGGTTTCACCAAATTGCCAAAAGAATCCATGACATTTGCAAAGAAGGTTAAGAACTAGGCTCAATGCTGAACATTTACTTCTACATAATAAACATATCCAAAAAGCAGGAGCTTCAGTTTCGAGAAAGATGTTTTCAGTGTCTAACCCAATACTTCTAATGATGTCTTTATTTTTATAAACAAAGTAACTTTGTTATTGTCAAATACATTTCCAATATGCTCCAAAGATCCTTATTTTCTCTCAGTTTTATGCAAGTCATTTAATAGCTAAAACAACTCTGCATTTACAGAAATGCCTAAAAGCACATTGGCCAAATTGCTGAAGCCATGTGTAATGGAAAGAGCAGCAGATTTGGAGTCAGAAGGCTTAAGTGCTGTTTCAGCTATTTACGGGGTGGGGGTGGGGGTTAAGTCTTATGCCCAATTTTTTGATCTATTCCTTCTTTTACTTATCAAAATGTTTTAAGCTTCCTTTCTTAAGGACTACTTTGGTTACATCCAATTTTGGTATGTTGTCCCATTTGCTCTGGTGCCATTAACTTTAATTAAATTGTCTCTTGGTTCTGTGATTTGTTGTCTCTAGCATTTTTAATGGTTTCTTCAGGGGCTCTTTATTGAGTTATTAAATATAATTTTAGTGTATTGTGATTGATAAAAGATGTACTTAGTATCACTGCTTTTCTGCATTTGTTTGTAAGGTTTTTATGCCCTAATGCAGGTCAATTTTTGTAAAGATGCTATGCACAGCTAAAAGATATGTATATTCTTTTTTTGTTTCCATTCAATAATTGTCAGAAATCTATCATATCTAACTTTTCTAAAATTCTGTTTAGGTCCTTATTTTTTTGTTGTTGTTATATTTATCTGTGTCAAAAATTAAAGTCCCTCACTATTGTAGTTTTACTATTTTGCTCTGTAATTCACCTGGCTTTTCTTTAAGTATTTAGATGCTGTGCCATTCAGTGCATATGTTTATTGACTTTAACTCAATTAGCATTGATATTAATTCATTGTTTATGGTACCTTTCAGCAAAATGTAGTTTCCCTGATTATCTCTTTTAACTCGGTCTGTTTTTACTATTGCTTCATCTGAGATCATGATTGCTACCCTCTGCAGGAACACTATGGAAGCACTTCCAGCCTACTTGCTTCGGGATGTGGCCCAGGATGCCCTGGCTGTGACTGTCATTGGCATTGATGAGGGACAGTTTGTAAGTTTCTTCTAGGTTCTTCCTTCCTACTATGCCACAAACTTTTCCCATATTACTGGAAAGCCAAATTAGCCAGTAGTTGGGATTAGTTGGGGGAGGGGGAATGAGAGAGCCTGGTGAAGCTTTATAGAAAGGAGAACTCTATGCATTTCCTAATATTTTAAGTGAATTGAAAACCTTTCCTTAGAATTGTTTACTAAAATCTCAGCCACTCAGCAGTACTAGCTTCCAGGTTTAGTTAGAAAGGCCATTCTTGACTTCAGTGAGCAGGAATTCTTTAAATTTTACCTTGGTTTGTGCCTTAGTAGCTTTGCACATTGGAAAAAAATCACCTTTTCCCAAAAAGATATTGTATTGTCCTTCTGTCCTACCCCAGAGAGTAGGAGGGATAAAAGTAATTCTCTAACCAGTATCTCCTCATCAATCTACAAGCATTGATTTACTTATTAATTAAGCAGCAATGTACCAGGCACTGTACTAGGTTTGAAATAGTTCTGCTCTCATTGCTGCCTAGAACCTGATTCTTGCTAAATACTGTTTGGCCTAATTATGGAGAATAGCTGGAAGGTTCTTTCACAATCCCTCCTCAGTACCCACCACCAATACCCCAGTGTCTAATGCCAATGGATGGGCAAGGAAGGAAGGAACACTTTGTATGACAACTACCATTTCCTCCAGATGAAAGCTCTGCACTTGAACCTGGATTCCTTTTTTAGTTGGCCATGCAAATGATCTTGGGCCTCAAGGAAATCGAGTGGTAAGCAAATTAGAAGTTTTTTATTTGGTGTTGGCCAAGATCAACCTTAGGCATAACTGAAAAAAGTAAAGTTTTTGATTTGGAGTCTAGGAATCTGAGTTTGAATCCCAGCTGATCTAATCAGTACCTAATTAGTCGTTGGGCAAATTTAGCTACCGAGGCTTCATTGTCCTCTGTAAACTAAAGGGGTTGGATTAGATGATCTTTAAAGTCTTCTTCAACTATAAATCCTATGATCCCATGTTGTAGCTTCAGGAGTTAATGAGGATTCCAGAAGCAGACAGTGGATAGTGGTAGCCAGGAGGTCAGTAGAGAGAGCTATGGAGCTCTCTTTCTATAAGGGCAGAGAAATAACTTATCAAGTGTAGATTACCTAGAGCAAGATGAACTAAGCTCATAGACTGGGAATGGTGAGGGGAGGGATCTAACAAGGAGAAGGAAATAGGAAGTTCCCAGAGTAGAACAATAAAACCCAAGGAAGGGATTCACACAGGAAGCAACTGGCCATAGAAAGGGCCAGGGGTGAAGTTTCCATCACAGGTACTTGGTACTAGAAGCCCAAGGTAGCTATTGTAATCTTGCCCCTTCTGGTTTCTATGGCCAAGCCTTACGTATCTGTCTTCACTTTCCTGACTTGGGGAATGAGTCATGATTTGCAGTGACAAACATCCATTGTTGGAACAGAGTTAGTAATGTTTAAGACCTCCATTCACTCTGGTGATAACTGTTTCCAGGGTCAACATATCCCTGGGTATGAGACTACAGATTCCAGTTAGGGAGAATAACCAACCAGCTCTTGCTACAGTTTAGTCAGGTACCAGTTGTTAGAGAGGCAGCTTGACCTAGTGAATAAACAGCTGTAGTTACAGTCAGGAAGACCTCGGTTCAAGTCCAGTCTCTGCCATATACTGGCTATATGAGCTTGGAGTCATTTAATCACTGTCCTGCACAACTCCAGTTTAAGGTGATACATTGCAGAACAGTTGTGGATCTGCTTAGTAACTTGTCTGTATTAGAAGAGGATATTTTCTCACAGGTATTCCCAACAAAGGTCTGAATAAAACAATTGATTCCTGATACTCTATATTTTGCCAAGCACCTTACATAAATCATGACCTTCAGCCCATAGGATGCATTGCCTTGTTCTCCTCAACCTCTTATGTGGATTAATTGGAACTGAGCAATTCTAGTCCTACAACGTAGAGCTACAAGAAACCTTAACTTAGAAATGACCTAGTAGTCCAATGTCTCTTTCCCTTTACAAATAAGGAAACCAAGGCCCAAAGGGTTAGTTAAGGGTCTTGCTCAAGGTCACACAAGTAGCTAATTAGTAGTAGAACAATAAGATAAAGCCTGGGGTGTTCTGACTTTACTATAATCAAGGGCTCTACTATATCAGACTCTATCCAGACTATTTCCCCTTCTTCCTTCTTTTTCTTTGCCCTCAGTTTCCTTCTTTCCCATCCACCCTCTCCAACCACCCTGGATTTCCTTTTCTCCTCTCTTCATCACTCCCCCATGCCTCATGCCACGCTTCTTTCCTTTGTTTTTCCATTTCGTCTTCCATGATTCAGATGGTCTGAAACCTTTCTTCCAATTATAGGTGGGCTTGCTTTAAGTGAAACCAACAAAGTCTACATTTACAAAACTGACAAAGTGATTATTTACTTTAGATTTGATTTACTCAAACTCAGTTTATAAGAAATTTATTCTTGTAAGTGTACAGAGTACATGTGGTTGGGAGGGAAAAAGAGGTAGGAGTCCAAGTTCTGTATTCTCCAACACTGGGGCTAGTCTGAAGAGTGGAACTGAAGTATTAAGTGGCTTTTATTCTTCCTCTGCTCTTCAACATTTCGATTCAAAGGCATCAATAAGAGCCTGGGAAAGCTTGCTTCCTTGGAACAGGAGCTCACCACCTCTCCATTTCTTTCCTGGGGTGTTTTTAGTTTCCGGATATTGTGGAATTCAGTGAGAACATGGCAAATGCTGGGAAAACTGTGATTGTAGCTGCACTGGATGGGACCTTTCAGAGGAAGGTAAGATTCCTAGCTATGGTCTTTAGGTAAAGGACCTATGCTTGGGAAGTGGGTCTTATGCAAAGAGACCACTTCGCTTTTTTTAAATTAAAATTTTGTTATTTTTTTCCACATCAGTCATTTCTGAATTGATTTCCCCCTTCCCACCCCGAAGCTCAACCAGTTACCTTTCCCTTGTTACAAGGCAGTTCAGCCAAACTAACTGACAAAGTCTGGTGGTGTATGCAGTGTTCTGCATCCATGGATCCCTGAGAAAAAGGGAGGTACCTATTCTCATCCCTTCTTCCAGGCCAAAACTGATCATTATGACTACAGGGTATTCATTTGGCTTTTTTTAAACTGAATCATCATATAGCCTCAACTTTGTCAACTATCTTCTTCTAAATTAAAACCAAGCTAGAGGCCATCACTGTAACAAACCTTATCTCTCCTTTCTAGTTCCTTCTCATTTGCATGGTATTTGTATTAGACCAAATTGTGTCTGCTACAGGCTAGAAAATAATTTCCCTTAGTTTCAAGGAGCAGATAGAGGGAGGAAAGGAAATGAAGTGTGATCAGCACAAACTTTCATGGTTCAGAGTACTTGGGCCAAAGGTGTTGTTGGGTTTTAGGGTTGTTTTTTGTTTGTTGTTCCTTCTTTTTGTTTTTAAAGACATCCACCTACTATCATTTATTGTGTGTGTCTCTGGGGATCATAGCCATTTGGGAATATCCTGAACTTGGTACCACTGGCCGAAAGTGTGGTGAAACTAACAGCAGTGTGCATGGAGTGCTTCCGGGAAGCTGCTTATACCAAGAGACTGGGGGTGGAGAAAGAGGTAATTTCATTCCCTTCCCCAGTCTTTCTGCTGGAGTGGGTCCAGCCTAATGGGTTAATTAACTCCCTGACATGTCCTGTGTTTGGGAGAGCCTGCTTAACAGAAATCATGTTGCTGTCTCCCCTGTTGCTAGGTTGAAGTGATTGGTGGTGCTGATAAATATCACTCTGTGTGCCGCCTCTGCTATTTCAAGAAGTTCTCAGGACAATCTGCTGTGCTGGAGAACAAAGAGAACTGCCCCCTGAGTGGGAAGTCAGGGGACACCTCAAGCTGTCGCAAACTCTTTGCTGCTCAACAGATTCTACAATGCAGTTCAAACAACTGAGGCAGTAGGGTTGTTCCTGGAACTGACCTTGGCCTGGGAAGATAAATTCCAGCACTCTGGCCGTGTGGGGGGGGGGGGAGAAGTCACCTGGACCTGCTTCTTGCTTTCTAGCCACCCCACATCCATAGCTGTTGCTTATATCCATATCCTGGTTTTATCTTCCCCAGAAGATGAGACCTTAGGAAGGGGGGAATAAGAAAGAAGCAGTGCTTTATAACTTGGAACAAACCTTTTGAACCCAAGACTATACAACTTAATTCTACACTTCCCCTACTTGCCATCCTACCCACCCTGCCCCCACTTCTGCTTGGTCTATAAACATTGCCAGTAAAACCCCTCACCTTCCTTTCTTTGGCCTCAGTCTTTCTAAGTAAAGCTCCCCTCAGCTATCCCCTCATGGAGCTAAGCTGACACAGGCAGCTAAGTCAGAGCATTGTGGGTTTCCCTGATTTCCTCTGACTTGAGTTATGACAGAATTCTGTGACAAAGGACATTACTTCCTCATCTGTGTTATCCTGACTTTATGTTCTCATTAGAAAACCCACATACCATAAGATTTTGCCTTTTCTTAATTTTACCAACATGGTAACTTTCCTTGACTATTTTTTTTTCTTTCTGTAAAAGCACCAATCAGCTTCCACCAGCAACTTGAGGCCTGGGAGCTTTAGTTTCCTAAGAATATGACTCAGAGACCCTGGCCTTTGCCTGGGCTCTGGTTAGCCTGCTATGTCTCAACTTATAATGATGGCTTTTTGGGGGCTGAGGTAGGGGAGGGGACAATTGAGGTTGCAGGAAGGTTCTGCTATAAAAGATGAGAATTGAAACTAGCCTTTAGACAGACACTGTTCTGTTTAGCCTTCTGGGTTTTTCCCTTGGTATGAGGGAGTCTAGAATGAGGTGGGGGATTTCTTCTCCAACCATTCTCAGTTCTCATTAATACTATTAATACCTTCTGTGGGACCTACTAACTTTGTTGAGAGAAGTATCCCAGCACTGATGATTAAGAGCCTTTGGGGCAAGCTCAGGCCAATATCGGATTCAGAGGACTAGCCTTCAAAACTTATGGAATTATTGGCTGTATGACCCTGGGCAAGTTGACCCTATTGTATGACCCCATTGCCTAACTAAAAAGAAAAAAAACCTATGGAGCCAGGTTCTGTTCATGGATCAGTGAGAGACTGCACAGCCCATTTACCCCAAGAAAACAGTGTTAGGCCTAAGGAGAGTCAGAGCAGAGAATGGTTTTCACTTGGGTGAGAAGAAAATATCAGGCTATTCAGGCTCTGAATCTGTCACATTCATTCACTCATTAAGACTCAGTCATCACTTTCAATGAATTTGTACTCCTATGTATAATGTGATAAGTGAATAAAGTATAAAGGAGAGAAAGAGAATTTCCATTTTTGAAAATGGAGCTAAAAAGTTCGGACTTGCTTTAGTTTTTCAGTGGGGAACCACTGAAGGTTTTTTTGCCAAGGAAGTGACAAAACCAAAGCTGTGCACAAGAAAGACTAAAGTGGCAGTAATTCGTGTGCGAGATGAATTGGAAAAAGCAGAAGCAATTAAAAATATTAAATTAGTACAGGTAAAGTAACAAGAGACTGGAATGGGATGTTAGAAGTGGGAAAAGTGAGTCAAAGGAAAGAGTCAAAATAGAATCAGCAAAATTCAGTAACTAGTTATGTGGAAGAGGATCAATGATTGGTGGTGAACTGGAGTGATGGGAAAGAAGAGGGTACCATAGAAAGAAGGCAGGAATAAGTATAGGCAAGAAAATCCCAAGAGATATACAGAGAGCAAATTTAAGTCTGGAGCTTGGGCTTTGAAGTTAAGCAATGGAGATTTTGGAATTGTCCATGTACAAGTGATAATTGATCTGAGGTGGGTAAAGTTACCAAAGTGAATGGGAAAACACTTAAATTTAAAGGTCAGCAGAGAAAAGAGATAAGTTCTCATAAAGCAGAACTTTAGAACCAAGCACAAAGAATTTATAAACCTTGAAATGACAGCCCTATGCCACAAAGGTGATAGAAAGCAAATAATCAAAAGCTTCAGCCAAGGTGAGGGGTGCTTGAAACATCTAAGAAGTAGAGGTGAGCCAGGAGCTGTCATCCTCCAATCTTTCAACGGAATGAACAGCTGTTATGTAGTTCTATCACAGGTTCCTCCTTCCCCTCTCCCTCCAAGTACTCTTGTCCAGCAGTCTCCTTGCTTTGCACACAACACTCCATCCTCCCAACTCTGGGTGTTTTCACTGGCTCTCCCCCATGCCTAGAATGCTCTCCTTCCTCACCTCTATCTCCTAGTTCCTCTGGGTTCCTTCAACTCTCAGCTCAAGTTCCACCTAAACAAAAAAGCCTTTTTAGATCCTTAATCTTAGTGCCTTCCCTCTTGAGACCACCCTCAATTTATCTTGCATACAGTCTTGTTGATGCAGTTTTTTGCATGTAGTCTCCTCTCTTAGTTTGGGTTCTAAGCACAGGGACAGAGTTGTTTTGTTTTGCTTTCTTTGTATCCCCATCACTTAGTGCAGAGCCTGGCAAATAAAAGACTAAGGCTAGCTGACAGACTCAGGCCCTCTTTCCCATCTACTGGGGCTCAACTCTAATGAAGGAGAGTAACCTGGGCAAACACAGGAAAACTACCGCATTTATAAGGTGGGCAGTGTTGCTATATTTAAGATGCTGAGAACAAAGAAGGGGATGAGACCTCAGGCAGAGAATCACACAAACTGAGTGAAGGGAGACTATGCCAATTTTTGCTTCTGCTACTAAAAAAGCTGTTGGCTTTCTATTCCAATTTAACTCAACAAATAGTAGAACTGCACCAAAGAATATATCCTTTTCCTTTCTACCAGTAATTTAAGCCCATAACAGCAATGCCAATAGGGGAAACAAAAGGAGAAAAAAATAAACACAATATAAAAAATAAACACACACATACATATATTTCTTTATTCCATCTCCAAACCAACTTAAAATGCAAAGTCTTCTGGATGTTCTTTTCTGATGACTTTTTAATACATTCAGAACCATCCAGGGGCTGCAAGGTAGGCATGCTTCTCGCCCTGCCTCACATTTCATGTTTTAACAATGGCAGAATATTTACACAAAGCAGGGCCTTGCAGGTTAAGCAAAGCCACTCCCAGCTACCAGGATTTCTACAGCAAGGACTAGGCAGTGTTGCCCCTGCTGTCACCAACCCCCAGGTAGACCCTGGCACTGGGTGTGGATTAGCAATCTCAGAATACAGGAGAACCAGCAGAAAGAATACAAGAGTAACCATAAGGGGTTCAGGGCTAGATGCCCTGGTGGTCCTCACTTTCTCCTTTGAATGGGAATGGGGCAGAGATCAAGAGAATAACCCCAGATAAAAGGGTTATAGACCTGAGAGCAAAGGAGTATATATGTGTTGGAGGGATCAAGGTGGGGAACTCACTACCTCAGAGCCCACCACTGGCAACAGAATGGACAAGCATGAAGGCACACAAACACACCCTGCACACCCACATGCACAAGCACCACAGAATGTCTCAGCAGGACCTGAATGATCCCTGGCAGAGAACTCTAAGCAGCCACTGCCAGAACCACAGAAATCACCACAAGTTTTACTCCCCTGAGATGAAGGGGAATATATAAGGCACTGTAAGTAGCATTGTAGGGATTATCCCGCTTCTATAGCTGTCCCAGGCAAAGGGAAAAGCAGTGAGAAAACACTTCTATCCAAAACTGTCTTCAAAATTCTCTGTCCAAAGGCAGATTCTTCAGTCCCTCCTGAAAGGAAGGAAGTAGTACCTCAAATTATGTGGCAGGTTTGAAAAAGCATGGAGTACAAACAGGAGAAAGGGAATGGCATCTTGAAGGTGTCCAAAGGCTTCCTCCCCTTCCCTTCCCTCAAGGTGAAGACTAAGTCAACCCCACCCCTTCCTTTGCCCCCCCACTGTGCTTTTGCATGCTGCCTTAACTTAGTACACAGGAGGTGGTTGATAACCCTCAGTGGTCTCTGCATTCTGAGTGAAGGGTGGTTGTTGATAATTGTCTCCAGCAACTCCTGGGTAGGAGGCATAGGGGGCAGCAGGATCAGGGGTAGGGTCAATGTAGTTCTGGATGAAGTCATCTACCCCAGCTTTGTATCTCTGGTAGGCAAGGGCAGCCAGCAAGCCCTAGGGAAAGAGTGGCTTGTCAGGGTTTGAATGGATGGAAAAGCCTGAGACAGGGAGGAGAAGGTAGGAGAGACAGGACATCTAGTTCCCCTGTTTTTTTATTTCCCCCAACCTTCTTACATTAGGAATGACGAAGAGTTTAGGTTGGAAATCTGAGTAAAGAACCCTGTCCCCAACCCTCCCTTTGCCAAAACCCATATCTCTGGCATCACCCACCATAGGACCATGGTCCCAGACCCCCACATACCCAGGAGAAGATGGAGAAGAAGCTGAAGGAGATTGCTGCCCGAGCTGAGTCAGCCCCCACCAACACGTCTACGGGCTTGGTGGCTGCCCACTGGTTGGTGAGAAAACAAAATCCAACAAACCAGAGGAAGGTCCAGAAAGCTGGGGAGAAAATAGGATGTGGAGCCAGCTCCCCACAGAGTCACCCCCCCCAAGTCAGAAAGTACCACCGGGAATTACCAAGGAACATAAGTGGATCCTTTCCCATCCCTACCCCAGGAGCCACTGGGCTAACGGGGGAGAAAATTTGAATCCCTTCCCCAAAAGCCCATGGGAAAGTTACCTGAGAAGATCATGTCACCAATGACCAAGTACTTGCGGTCAGTGGCGTTGCTAATCTGGGGAAAATACACATCAACCACGAAGAAGAAGACAGAAGCCAGGAAGGCAAGCACCCCGATGGCTGTGCCATATCGGCAGGCATCCTCATTGTGGTTAAAGACACAGTGGAGGTCAGCTGAATAGTGTGAATTAACGTAGCCTTCACCAATGATGCAGGAGAACACGATCATAGCAAATAACTAATGAAGAGAAGGAGTGTCTGATGAGGCTAGGGAAGCCACACTGACACCCTAGGATGATGATCCCCACAAGCTACAAACCCAGAATTTGAAACAATTTAGGACCTGGGAAAAGTTGATGTGAGCCAGATGATACTCCTGGCTGGTGTCTCTTCCACTTACTGAATATCTTATTTTGTGTTGTTTTATTTCATTTCATGATTTCCATACAGGATTTGATAAGGTGATTACTTCCTCCTTTTAATGGGGAGGAGAGAAGTCAACTGCTCCTTATGACATTAATAGCCAGCCTACCTTTTCAGGCCTAGTTCATTTATTCTCCTGCACACACAAGTGCATTCCAGCTAAACTGGACAACTAGCTGTTCTTCACATTTATGCAGTCCATCCCCTAGCCTGGAATATTTTCCAACTCAATTTCCACATCTCTGCCTTTCAGAATATTTCTCTACCTTCAAGTCACTACCTCTGCCACCTTCCCAATCTCCCTTAACTGAAAGTTTTCTGTCCCTCCTCAAATATCTCTAAAGCATTCTGGGGTCTCTCCTTCGTCCCATTATATTATATTTATGTGTATATGTATCTTTCCCCTGTCTCCATCCTGCCTTATCCCATCCCCAGGACAGTATGTCATTCTTTGAGGTCAGGGACTATTTAATACTTCATCTCTACATCCCCATTACTTAATAAATATCCATTAATGAACACCATACTCATGTAAAAGATAAAATTCTAACACAGATCAGTGGGACATGTGCCTGGGAATAATTCTTCCAGGCAGAAGAGCTGAGTGGCTCAGGCCTCAGAGTATTCTAGTCAGTGGTCTGGCTCCCAAGATGGAGATTGTCCTGCCTAGCTTTCAAAGTTTGTTCTACTCTTGTTTACCCTCTCTATAAGCACTGATATAAATGTTGCCACCAAATAAAAGGGCATTAACACAACACAGCCAACATGCTTCAGTGTTGCCAGTTTTCCAGTGAAGATTAACTGCTACACTAACACTATTTATGCCAGCTTTGGGGGGGGGCGAAGCAGTGTAGGGTGGGAGTGAGGAAGACAGTTGAAATATCAGTCTGAAGCTTTGGCCAAATATTCTCCAAGTATTATCTATGGACCCCAGATCTGTCTACCCAGTTAATCATTTCACAAAATGAGTCTGACCTAAGAGTGAATCCAAAAATCACGGTCCCAAAGGAAAGACTACTTCAGAGGAAATCTATTACAGGCTAGGGAATCCCCTACCATTAGCACACCTTGCCCTAGATCAAGAGGCTAATCTAAAACAATGCTGCCTCAGGGACCAACCCGAAAGAGTAGCCCCTCCAGTCCTCCAATCACAAGGGCTTGCAGTCAAATCATGTTCTACCCTTCAAACTAAAACAAGAACCTATAAATCTGTGGGAGGAGGGGAGGAAGTAGAGAGAAACAATGTGCCCAGTCCCTCATGCCCTGGCACTACCAAGCCAATACATCACCTTCCCCTAAAGCAGAGCACAGGGCAATCTGTGCTCCTATAGGAGAGGAGCTTCACCAGGAGATATACTAGGCAGTGCTGGGGTGCCAGTCAGTATCAGTAGGCATTGTCCAACCATCGAAGATGCCCTCTCCTCACCCTGATCGCAAGGAATTCATTTCAAGTACTGGTCACATTGTCTTCCCCAGTGAACCCAGGGCTTTCTAAATTCCGGGGCAGATTTTCCCATAGCCGGTTCTACATGATGTAAGCAGCAACATATTCAGATTTGGGCTAGCCGAATTCACATTTTTCCTATCAGGAAGAGAGGGAAAGGAGCAACAACAGTGGTCCAAGCCCCTACAAACCTTCCCCAACCTGTTTTACAGGGGGCAGGGGGACCAAACGCTCCTTGGCCCAGGCAAGGGTCACTCTTTTCAGGGCACACTTTCCTTCTCATTCCTACTTTTTTTTTTAAATGCCCTACTCATAAATCCCCAACCCGGGAGTGCAACAGGGCAGACAGCCTGCCACCTGCCCCACTGTTTCACCCTGGCCCCTCCCACTGCCAGCAAGGCGGCCGGGGCCTTGCCTCGGTGCCACGGAACACCTGCCCTGCTCCCGGGGCCACGCAGTTATGCCAGTCCCGGAAGAAACGGGTGGAGGGAGTGGGGGTGGCGGGGTTGGGTGGCCGTGGTCCGGGGCAGAGGGCCAGGAGCGCCGGGTGGGCAGAGTAGGCAGGGTCGGGGGCCTGGCGCTAACACGAAGCGAGGGCACCCCCGTCTGCCACCTGCTGTCCGCCGGAAGGTCCTGCCCGTCCTGCCTGGCGGGCCTGGGTCCCTCGGCCGCGGGGCTCGGGGTGCTCACCGTGCACACAGCCCGAACGATGACCTGCGGCTGCTGCAGGAATCGCCACAGGTCGAAGCTGCCGCCGGCCTTGGCCGCCCCGTAGGCCCCGCTGTCCATTTTGACGTTGACGTCGTCGCCTTCGCCACCGCCCGTGGAACGCGAACTAGAGACTCCCGGCACAGAGGGTGACAAGGGGAGCTCCATGCCCCGCCCCCCACGCGCCAGGGGCGTGACCAGCTCCCTGCCCTGGGAGCCCCAGGCCAATGGGCGCCGGGCCCGAGGCCCGCGAGCCACCTGCCTGAGAGAAGAGGTGGGGCCGTGGGCGGGGACAAGTCCTTTCCCTCCCCCCCACCACCCCGCGGCTTCCCAAGGTCAGCCTCCAGCGGGCCTAAACCGTTCAACCCGGACTTACGGGCTTTATTGATTAACCCCCACCCACAATGAAGTTCCCTTTCCCGGCCTGCCCCCCTCCTCCCCGCCCGGGATCAGAATCTCCTAGAGGAAGGGACCTCGGGGCCATCTAGTCCAATAATCCCCTCCAAAATAAGCCCAGGACTAACTAGGCCTGCGATTGAAGACCTAGAGGGCAAGTCCACTAACTCCAAAAGCGGCCCATTTCTCCTTTCGATGTCTCTGGTCGTTAGAAAGTCCTTTGTATCCAACCAAAATTTGCCACTTTGTAATTCCACCTGGGGTTTCGGGTGCTTCTTCCTGGGACCAAGAAACGACAGAGTCGAATCCCTCTTTGACGAGATAGCCCTTCAAATACTCAAAGGCAGCCTTCTTTCCCCCCCCCCACCAGATCCCTTCTCCAGGCCAACCACCACCCCTCCTCCAGCTCCTAGTTCCTTCAACGGCTCCTCACGTGACTTAACCCCAAAGTACTTCATTCTGGTCAGTCCCCTCTGCGCAATCTCCACTTCACCCCCACCAATGTCCTTAAAATACGACATCATAACTGAACACAGTACTCAAATGTAGTCTGACCCAGACATAGTAAATAGTATTATTAGTATTAATAGTACCCCTGCTCTTGATCTTGGAGTCTACTAAAAAAAATGTCAGATCTTTCTCAGATGAGCCACAATCTAACAAAGTCTTCTCCCCCTTCCCCTCCCCCCTTCAGTGCAGGAGAAACTGAATTTTTAAGGGCAAACTCAAAAGCTTTTTTTTTATATCTGCATAAGAAAGGTCAGGAATTTGACTAAGGTATTAGAAACAATGGCCCAGTCCCAGGATTTTCTTTTGCTTTGGTGCCTTCCTCCTTCTCCCCCTCCCCCATTTACTGGGAAGAAAGAAAGAGGTTTGGAGTTGAAAATTTGAGAAACTTTGAACCCCGAACTGTTTGGTAGTTATTGGATCAATAATCTTTAGTTATAAGCCTTGGTTTATAGTCTAGGCCTCAGAGATTAAAATCTGGAGGGAAAGGGAATACTCAACATAACCAAACAGAAAATTTAATCCAACGAAAAGATTAAGTTCAGTGGCCTAGCCCGAGAGTCAGAGTGTCTTGAAGAGTCAGAGACATCTTGAGTTTCAGAGGCATGAATTGTGCTCCCCTCATTCTTGTGCCCTGGCTGTCTGTACACCCCTCCATTCATGTACATGCTCCCTAGGTGTGTGCCTCCCGGTAAGTGTTCCAGGTTTGTCCATTATTTTCACTGATAGTATATATAATTGGGAAAAGTGTATCCTATGTTTATGAGGGGTTTTTTTGTATTTCTTTAAATTCCTTTGCGTTGAATTAATTAGGCGCTCTGATGATTAAAAGTAAATATATTGGTGGAAGTTTATGAATTATGTGCACCCAGACCCAGACCTCCAGCTGAGCTGGCTCTGGCTCTGAGGGATTCTTCCTCTTAGAGGATGACACCCCCCCCACCCCCAACACACACACACACACACACACACAACATAACACTTTACATGTATTCTTATTAAATTTCATCTTTTTGGGGATTCTCCAAGCTTCCACTTGCTTGGGGCTCTGGAGCTGCCACAGGTACTTCTGACTTCCAGCGTCCAGAGGAGGAGGCCAACTCCACTTCAGGTTGCTCAAGGACATGAGGGGAGCTGGCATTCTCCATGTTGAGAGGGTGGGAGTGGGTGAAAGAAGCTACCTAAAGGAATCAGGAGCCAGTCAAGTCCTTGGATCACTTTGAATCCATATCGTATGTCACTCATTGTTGTCCCTTGAAGAGGACCAAAATGACATCACTATGCTAGAGTCAAGTTACAATGCATCAGACTGTGGCTGATCAGACCAGTAAGAGCTCAGAATGCTCTACCACAAGTCTGGCACAAATAGTGCATGTGAACATTTAGAGTGGGTTCTCTAAATTTTCCATCTAAAGTTTCTTTTGAGTTATTTCAATTCTGCTTTGCTCATAGAGCACAGCCCCTTCTCTGATAAGCCAGTGTCTCCCATGGTACACAATCAATTCCAAAGTTCTTAAGAGAGACCTTGAGAGTGTCCTTGTGATGGGGTGCTTTGGTGCTTGTGTTTGGGTGCTTGTGCTTGTACTTGTACCCCAATTTCTCCCTAGCCTCAGAAACACTATCCCTGACAGTTTCTCCCCAGCCCAAGGACACTGTGCCTAGCAGTTATTCATGCATGGGCCTCAGCACCACCCTTGGCTCTATCCCTGGTACAGCTACACAGAGCTGGGCTGCTCAGGCCCCAGCCCTCAGATCATGTCTCTGGAAGCCTCCCAATTCCTTAGTAAGTTCCTGTCTTGTAAGAAAGCTTTCCCTTGTTGCAGAACATTCTCTCATCAAGACAGAGGGAGAGGGGTGCCTTGCCCAGCCCAAGGAGTTTTGTCCTTGGCTGGCCCAAGGACTCTTCCTCCTGCCTGACTCCAAAGATCCATGCCTTTGTCATCTCCCTCCCTGTCTGGTATACTCCCTGTACTTTCCCATCCATAGGCCCCAAAGACACCTGCACCTTTGGATTACCTCATCAATGTCCCTGGCATTTCCTTCCCATGCTCTTTTGCATATAAACTCTAGCTGCATTCTCAGTCTTTCAAAGGATCCTTTAAGAATCCTTGCCCACTGAAAAGCGTAACAATAAACTTTGCCACCTTGGCTTAAAGAATGCTTGAGTCTGTGAATTCATTCCAGACGACACATCCTGTACTCTGGTCTTTGAGGGCTCACAACCTCTCAACCTCTTACACTGCAACACTTGTATCTCTGTCTTCTGACCACTTGCCCTTTGTGAGTTCTCCATAAAACAGTCTTTTAGGCAAGCATATGGTTTACTTTCAAAAACCGTGGCCAGCTCATCATAGTTGTGTTTTTTGCAGTAGAGTTTGAATGCTTGGCAGTTTAGTTTGAGAAAGGACCTCAGTGTCTGGTATCTTATCCTACCAAGTGATCTTCAGGATCTTCCTAACACAGTGCAAATGGAAGCAATTCAGTTTCCTGGCATGGCTCTGGTATACTGTATAGGTTTCACAGGCATATAACAATGAGGTCGTATGTCACTAAAGAGCAAGGAGAGGGATGGACTGACCCCATGATGGGAACAAACACTTAGGGGTTTTTTGGCTAGGCAGTGGGGTTAAGTGACTTGCCCCAGGGTCATACAGCTAGTAAGTATCAAGTGTCTGAGGCCAGATTTGAATTCAGGTCCTCCTGACTCCAAGGCCAGTGCTCTATCCACTGAATAACTCTCATTCTTTTTTTTTAAATTGATGTCACCTTTAAGTTTTTTTATTATGAGCTTAACACACAACAAATAAGATAAGCATTTTTATATGCAATGCAAGCACATAAAAAGAGGATCAAACATGAAACTGCAAATCTACAACTTGCTTTTCCTTTTAAACACATGATAAATCACTGAACATGTAACTGTTAAACCTGCCCTATCTATTTCCTTCTGGCCTTCCATCTGTTTTGTAATGACGCGTTTTTCTTTATTTCCTCTTTCTTTTTCTTTGGTAATCTCCCTTTTCTGTCACCAAATTGAAAATAAACTCTTTTAATAAATATACATAATTAAGCAAAACATATTCCTATATTGTCCATTTCTGAAAATGTATGATTCATTCTGCATCTTGAGTCTGTCACCTCTCTGTCAGGAGGTAAGTAATATGCATCATCATCAGTCCTCTGAAATCAAGGTTAGTAATTGCATTGACCAGAATCTTAAGTCCTTCAAAGTTGTTTTTCTATACATTGTTGTTAACTGCATAAATTGTCCTCCTGGTTCTGTTCATTTCACTCTGCCTCAGCTCATACAAGTTTTCCCTGATCTCTTTGAAACTGTCTCTTTCATCATTTCTTATGGCACAATGATATTCCATTTCATTATTATACCATATTTTGTTCAGCTACTCCCCAATTAATGGGAACACCCTAAGTTTCTCGTTCTTTACTGCTCCAAAAAAAGAGCTGCTATAAATATTTTTTGTACTTATTGGTACTTTCCCTTTTTTTTTTTTTAATCTTTTTTGGGGCATAGGCTTAGTAGTAGTATCACTGGGTCAAAAGGAATGCACAGTTTAGTCACTTTGGGAGCATGGTTCCAAGCTGTCTTCTAGAACAGCTAGATCCACCTACAGCTTCACCAAAAGTACATTAATATGTGCCTGCTTGCCTGCAGATCTTCTAACAATTGTTGTTTTTTGTCAACTTTGCCAATCTGATGAGTTTAAGATGAAACTTCATAGATATTTTAATTTTTATTTTTTAATTATTAATAATATGAAGCCTTTTTAATATGGTTATTGATAACTTTCATTTCTTCTTTAGAAAACTAGCTATAGATGTAGTTCTGCTTTGCTCCTAAGATTCCCTCCACTCACCCTGCCCTACTCCCATCATCATGCTTCCTTGTTAACCCATATCTCACTCACCAACCCCTCATTTTTTAAAATTTTTTTATTTTTTATGCTTTTTGGTGTGACAGTGGGGTTAAGTGACTTGCCCAGGGTCACACAGCTAGTAAGTGTCAAGTGTCTGGGGTTACATTTGAACTCAGGTCCTTCTGACTCCAAGGCCAGAGATCTATCCACTGCACCACCTAGCTGCCCTGGCATCCCCTCATTTTTCAGATAATGAAACTGAAAATCAAAGAAGTTAAATTACTTGGTCAAAGTCACATAGAGTGTGGGGTAGGCATGATGGACACAGCTACAGGACAAGAAATTCTTGATCTCTACTACAGGATTTTCCAGCTAGCAAGGCAGGCAGCATCAAGGCAGATGGAAGATACCATCAAAGAAAAACAGTAATAAAATTTAG